CTGTAGAGTAGAGCCATGTGTGAGGGGCATGGGGCTCTGCCCTGCCCTGGGCACACCTTCCCAGACGTTGTATGGAAATCCCCGGGGCCACACATGATGGTCCTAGGCCTTGCAGCACCTGGATGTAGCCAGTAGCCATGCAGGGCTGCCGCCTTTGTGTGACTTTCCCACCTGTACTGTGCTAGCCTTGTGGCTGACAGCGTGGTAACATCTTGGGCAGCCGCAGTAACCACTTATTGATCTTTCCAAGAGCATGGGTGGAGGTACACACCCTGGTAGCAAGTCAGTACAAGGCCTCTTGAAGCATCTATACGCCTCATATTCTTCCTGTTTAACAGCTGTAGGGTATATTTCTGAGCCCAGATTCTACCCAAGTTGCATCACCAGGGGTTTTCACCTGCTGTTCGTTAAGGTTAAAACAAATTAGTCAAGCGTAGATTTATTTTTAAGTACGTTTCCTGCATGTTTCTATAGAGACCCAACTTTTGCACCTTCTCTAAACCGCAGAGCAGGATAGGGCTGGAAGGGGGCTTGGGGCCTTTGGTAGGCGGGTGGGTAGATTTGCATCTTATAATGTATATTTTTTTAGCACAAGCTTTCATAGGCTGAAGCTTGCATCTCCCGATGCTGAACTCTCTCTGCTTATGAAGGGGCCTCTAGGGCAGCGAGCCCCCTGTATTTGGCAGTGACCCTTTGTCCAAGAGAGTTTGTGAAAAGTATACCACAGGCAGAGAGTAGGGGAGACAAGGATGCTGTCAGTGCCCTAGCCACTATCATGGCAGGGAATTGGGTATTGTTACCAGACTTTAATATTAGACTTTAGGAAGCAGCAACGAATTCATAAGTGCTTGGACAAGAACAGTCCATTCTCTGAAGAGAGCATTTATTGACCACAGCAATTTGCAACTTCAAGCACACAACAGAATAACTTTGCCTAAGCTAAGTGCACACAGCCCAGTAAGACACGGTGATGGCACACACAACCTAGCCTAACTTAAAATGCAACATAATAAGCTGAAAAGAAAACAAAAAGCCTTGCATAGGCAGAGTGTCTCCTTGCAGCCAGGTATTCAGAAAGTCTTTCTGGGGGATTCACACACTTTTTAGGTGATGAGGAGGAGATCCCAGAGGTCTCATCCCTGCTTGGGTTTTAATAGGAAAATCTGCACCTCCTTCTCCCCCTTGGGTGTCTTGACTATAACATGCTTTTCACATCCCTCATGTATCGTACACCCCTCATGACTCTCATGCATTCAGTGTCTCTCTCTATCTCTTCTCAGATATTCCAGTCTCTTCCCCTTACAAGTTCTGCTTTGAGATGTAAATACAGTTCCTGGGGTATAAGTTATAGCTGTGTTGGTCTAAGGACATAGGCAGACAAGGTTTTTTGGGTAAATCCGATATCTGTTATGAGACCGACTCAGATAGTTGGAAACATTCTTCTTTGCAAGCTGCAGATGCTTCCTCAGTCTGACGAAGGATATTTATACCCAAAAGCTTCTAAAGAAGAATTTTCCCAACTACTTGAGTTGGTCTAATAAAAGATATCAGATGTACTCAAAGAAGCTTGTTTAAATATAGTTCCCTGCTTCCTTTGGTCACACCAGCCCAGGCAGTCTGTCTCATGGCTCCATCCCACAGTTGTGGTGATTGTGTCAGGCCTTTGCCAGCAGTAGCATTCATTGCACTGGTCATAATGGGCATGATGTAGGCAGAGCTTGGTTGTCAATGCATGTTTCAGATTGTGGGCAGGATGCTCCTGCATCCACACTCCCAAAATCCCATGGCTTGGCTGCTGGCCTGCAGGCTTCTGAGCCAGATTCCATAGTTCCTTGCTGCCTCTAACCTCCTGTCCCATTCCCTGCAGTCCTGAAGAACTTTTTGGCCAGCCCACGACAAGAGCAGGTTGTTCTCAGCCGTCAGCAGGGTTTGCAATGCATCTCATCACTAATGCAGACGGTGGAGGAGACTCCCCAGCCCATCCAGGCTGAGGTCAAAGGGCACATTCCTGAATGGATCAATGGCAGTCTACTGAGGAATGGGCCTGGGAAGTTTGAATTTGGAGAGGACAAGTAAGTGGAGCTTTGATTGCCCTTTGGGTCCAGCATTGGTGGAATTTAGTGGGTGCTTTTGCGCTGATCCCAGGTGTGGGACAGCTCTTGGCTCTCATTTAGTGGGTGAATTCAAGGGGTTATTCTTGAGGATGTGTCTGTGGTCCTCATTCTTCTAATAGCTTTTCTGCATGACAGCTTTTCTGTCATCTAGAAACATTCAGTAGATGCTTTGAAAACCCTATGCCCATATAGAACTCTGGTGACCTACATCTGAAATACAAAAGTTGTTTTTTCCATTTCAAAGATAGGGAAACTTTAGTCCAGGCAGGCTGTGGCTTGCTGGAGGCCACACAGAGAGTCACCAGAACTGGGGAGCAAAGCTTGGGGTTGTGACTACTGATTCTTTGTGGGCATGTTTACACATGCTATTTAACACTGTAAAGGCTTACCGTGCAGTAAAATACTGCAGATTAGTCTACTGTGCAGTAAAACGTCTTGTATAGACATGCCGTGTGTCAAGTACATCCCACAGGTGCCTGGGAACCCAAGGCTGGACGTTTTTCCTCTTTGCATCGATGTGCATGCCTGTGTGTGTCTGAAAACAAACCCAACCTGCACTCAGATTCAGAGATTCATAGATTCATAGATGCTAGGGTCGGAAGGGACCTCAATAGATCATCGAGTCCGACCCCCTGCACAGGCAGGA